ATAAAATATAATATATAATTTATATTTTATTTCTATATTTAATATAAGTTTTTTTAAGGACAAAATTTATGTAATCTAATACTGAGTTTTATTATTTAGATTGTCAAAATAAATTTCAATTCTAATTAGAGAATAACATAAATTTTACTTACAATGTTACATCCTATTTTTATTTTTTTCAAGTTATACTTTTTTCTTGTTGTAAAACATTCACTCCGTTTATTTGAGAGATGATAATAAGTTACATTTTAATTTTTTAAATATAAATAAATCTGTTAATAATGATGAATAATTATAAAAGTGTCTTTCAATAATATTTTGTCTTTCTATAAGTTTCAAGGTTGCAAGTAATTAATTTTGAATGTTTTAATTAGTAATAATTTTAGATGATAAAATTAAATTTTAAGTATATTCATTATTGACCTTAAAATTTTATTTAAAATCGTTTTTTCATCTTTTCAGGTTATAAAATTAATAATAAATATTTGAACCTGGTTATTAATCATACTCCTTCTGTAAACAAAATATAATTTAAACATATTTTGAAAAAGAATACAATTTACTTCATTTTTTAACTGTAGAGGAACGATCGATGAGATTACGTATAAGGTTGTTAATGTCGTAATATAAAGCTCAAATTAAATGTATATTAGGATACTGAAATAGATAATATTATATTTTTTTAATGTTTGAAATAAAAAATATAAATTATATTTAAATAAAATTATTTTTTCAATTTAAATTAATATAATTTTAATATATATATATATATATATATATGATTTAAAAATGTGTATATGATTAAAAAAATTTACAAATGTTTTTAAAAAACAAATTTTGTTAAACAATTATGGATTTTTAAAAATATACTTTATCAAAAATATTTTTTATTGAAATTTTTTTATAAGTTTTTATAAAAATATTAAAATTATATTTTTAAATAATTATGCTTATAAAATATTTAAAATAATATAAAGTATAAATGAAAAATGTAATAGAAAAAGATTATATCCAAATATTTTTTAACTCGTCGCTTTTTTTAAAATAAAAATTTAAACTATGATAATGAAATATGACATTGTAATAAACAATAATATTCTATTAATTAATAAACATAAAAAAAATAAACTATGATATTGTTTGAGCTTATGTTATTTGACCAAATGAATCCTAAAGGTCAACAAGATTTCATGCGTATGATCTGGACAATGCATGAGGAGCAACTGTGGACATGTTATGGTTTTTCAAGAATTGAATTTGCGAATTTAATAACACTTAGTGAAATTTTACTAACACTTTGGAGGATACTAAAATCGTTCTTTTCAACGTGTGCGCAAAGTTATGTGTTAAGAAATTTAAAATACATTACATTATAAAAAAATTATATATAAAAAAATTATATATTTTTATGATAATTTAAAAGTGTTTACTAATATATATTTTTAAACACATGTTAAAAAGTCATAATAAAATTAAGGAAACGCATGCATCATTAAATTAAAAGTTATAACAATTAAATGTCGGGTCACGTTAACTAGTGTACTATTAAAGAATTTAAAATAAAATATTTTATTACAAATTAGAGAAAAATATATTAATAATTTTTAATAAAAATAACTTTTAGATTAACATTTACGATAATGTTAAGGGTTAATTAAGTCAAATAAATCAAGTTTTGTTCCAAATGAATATTAGATTCGGGTATTTATTAATCTCTTCAAAGCAAAATAAATGTAATAAACAAAAGTGAGAGAATAGATTTTTAAATAATAAACAAAAACAACACTTAATTAAAATTAGTCAAATGTCTAATTTAATAATTAGTTATCAATTTATTAAAAAATGTTTAACTGTATTTTATGTCTTTTTGAGTTTGGACTTAATATAATTTTGATTCTTTGATTTATTTAAAGCTAATTAAGACATTTTATTTTCAAATCTTTTAAGATGGTAAAAGAGGAAAATAAAAGGTGAACGTAGACAATGTGTTAAAGAGAAAAAACATAAGAAACGACGATAACAATGATAATAATTAATTTAATTATTTTTTAATATTGTGTAAAATGATATTAGTTTAGTATTATAAGAGCTACTTAACATGGTATATTAATGATATATTAATAAAATTTAATATTCTTTTACATGTTCAGAGTTCTAATTTGATAGACAATATCACAAACTAAAAGAGCAATTTTAAAAAATAAAAATTTAAGTATACACGCCCAAATTTAAAGAAATAATTTATAAGTTTATTTAATTTTTAAATAATAAAATCAACACTTAATCAAAATTTAAATATACATTTTAATATTTAGATATTAGTTTTTTTTTAAATATTTTTAATTATATTTTATACTTTTTGAGTTTGGATTAAATATAATTTTGATTCTCGTAGCAATTTTTTTATTCATTGGTTTTTTTAGGCTAGTTAAAACCTTTTTATTTGAAATTTTTTCAAATACAGTACTCTATTATTTTTGTTTTAGTTAAAACTTTTAAATTCTCACTTTTATAAATTGAATCGACTAATTTATCTTTTTATTCAAAATTAACCAACTAAATTATTAAATTTTACCTAAATTATGAAAATCTAAAAAAAATCACTTTAAACACTGAATCACATATTATAAAATCCTTTAAATTTTATCAAATTTTTATTTTTAAAAAATTAAAATTATTTTATATTACAACTTCATTATAAAAATTCCTACAAATTTAAACAAATAATATAAAAGTGAGAATTTAAAGTGAACAAATAACAAAAACAAATAAGTTTATATAATTTTAAAAATAGAGTAACTTAATTGAATGAAAATTTAAAAATAAAAATTATATACAATTTAAATTAGAAGGGTTAAAATTATGATTAAAAAATAAAACCATAATTCCTACTCTATTGATTTTTCTAAAGTACTATATTTTCTTTGCAAAAAAAAAAAAATGTCTACATTCTTTTCCTTAATATTAACAAGATAATGTGTCCATCAATAAATTTTTAATTTTTATATAAAAATTAAAATTTTTATTTTAATACAGTGTAAATTTTTAATAAAAATTAAAAAACCATTCTGCATATAATGATTAAAATAATTACGACAAATGTTTACAATGTTAAGTGTATGATAAAAATAAGAGAGATGTTAATTGTAAAATATATTAAAATAAAATTGCTTAAAATTTTAATTTAAGTTCATCGATATTAAAGTTTTACTAAAAATGAAGGCAAAGTAGTGTAAATTTTAATTTTGTCCTCTGAAAAAAGAGGATAGCATCATATTTGCATTTGCATTTAGACTCCGTAACAAGAGAGAACTAAAATGTTTTCTTTTCATTGCAGGGATTGGTTTTGTATTATGCAATTTAGATGTTTTATTTGAAGGGGTTTAATTTTAACATATTTTTATACAATTTTTTTATACTATTATATAAATAAAAACATTGAATATGTGATTTATTTTTATGTGCTGAATATGCAATATTTAAAGTAATTATTATAAGATATGATAATTTTTAATCATTTAATTATAACAGTATAGTTTTTTTTATACATCACTAGTATAATTCAATTAAAATTTCATTTAAAAATTTCTCAATGTTAGATTTTCTCTCATTTTCTTTTTCCCAACGTTCACGTAGAATGGACAAAGTCGCCGTATATCAAGGTCTCAATTATCGTACTACTCGGTACATGTTCCTTTGCATTATCCAACCCTTAAAAATAAAATAATGTTTTATCAGAATTTTTGTTAAAATACATTATCATAATTATTAATTCTTAGACGAATAAGTAGTTATTCAAATACTACAGTTATTATTATCAACATTATCAACTTGCAGCAGCACACTCATCGGCTAAACATTAGACCCGAATTCAGTGCAATCCATGTGAAAATTTTACCGTGCATTTAGATAAAATTTTATATTTTTATTTAAATAAAAATGTGTTAATTTAAGCGAAAATATAAAATAATGTAACTTCACGGTACTGCATTAAATCTAAATCTCATTTCTTTTCTTTTTCGTAAAAGCTCCCTTCCACCCTTGTTAACACCTTTCTATTAATATACTACATCAAAATTAAATTTACATATTTTTTAAGAATTTACATAAATTTATTTTTATTAAAATTAATAAAATATCAAAATATACACTACATTATTAATATTAAACATTATTATTTTAATTCATATTTATAAACACAGATACTTAATTCATCAAATTAATAAAAAATGATGTCATAAATTTATTTAGTTTTTTATAATCTCATATAGATTAACACTCTTTAAAATATATTTTAATTAATACCTAAAAATTATTAGAAATATATTTTTTACTAATTTTTTAATATATTTTAATTATAAACTAAAATTTATTTAAAATTACAAAAAATGAGATAAAATATTAAATTAAAAATATATAAAAATAAATATGTTACTAACATTTTTTATTAAAATTTATAAAAAGTGTTAGTCTTAATTTTTAGAGTTGAGTTTAAACAATTAACAATAATAAATTTTTATTTATTATTTTTCTATAACTTTAACATAATAAATAAATTATTTTTAATAATTTTTTACTTTTAAATATTTGAATAGAGGGCCAAAAATAATAAAATTTAAATTTTATTAAATATTAAAAATATAAAAAAAATTATTTTTAATATTTTTTATAAATTTTATCTAATAATCATAATTGTATTATTAATATTTTTTTAATAAAAAAATTATCATCTACAATAAATTTAGTAAATTTGAATAATATTATTGCAAGTAAAGCAAAATATGGCATAAGTTTTAATAATTTTTTATTATAGATTTTTTTTAGTGAAACACGCGCTAATAAAATTGATAATATATATATATATATATATATATATATATATATATATATTAAAAAATTATTATTAACATTTCTCTTTGTCCAACACTTCCTATTTCCAATATTTAAACCCCCACTTCCACCAATCAACAGACACTCACAAACTCCAAAACTTGACCACCATGGCCAGCGGTGACTCCACGTCACCCTACCACCCCACGGCCAAACCCACCACCACCACCCTCTTCAACTGCAAAAAAACCAACCTCTACTCTTTCATCGCTTTCCTCTGCATACTCTCTTACATCTTCGGCGCGTACCAACAAACCACCACTACCAAAATCCCCACAAAAACCCCATGCCCCCAAAACCCCACTCTCACCCCAATAACCACGCGCCTAGACTTCTTCTCCCACCACAACGCCACCTCCCTCACTCCCTCCGCCTCTAAACTCCACTATCCTCCCTGCCATGCGTCACTCGGCGAGTATACCCCCTGCGAAGACCACGCGCGCTCGCTCCGCTACTCACGCGACAAAATGGTGTACCGCGAGAGGCACTGTCCCCAGAAGAATGAGCTTCTCAAGTGCCGCGTGCCCGCTCCACACGGTTACAAGAACCCGTTTCCGTGGCCCACGAGCAGGGATGTCGCGTGGTATGCAAACGTGCCTCACCGTGAACTCACGGTGGAAAAGGCCGTGCAGAACTGGATCCGTTACGACGGCGACAAGTTCCGCTTCCCCGGCGGCGGAACCATGTTCCCACTTGGTGCTGATAAGTACATCGACGATATTGGAACGTTGATTAATCTCCGAGACGGTTCAGTTCGAACCGCTGTCGATACTGGCTGTGGGGTACGCGTTTTTTTCTCTCTCTTTATTTTTCCTTTCTTGCCACCTTTTAAGCATTAAAGTATCCTTTTTCAGAGAAGGAAAAGGGGAAATAGTTGAAATTATAAATTATTTTGATAGATTTTAATAAATATTTAAAAAGTTATATTGAGAGAGTACGTAGAGCACTTCTCGAAAATGAATAGACAAAGAGTTTCTTTGGAACGTCTTTGTCCTTGTCTTTTACTTTTAGGATGAGAAATAATGCCGTTTCCACCGTTTCGGTCCACAATTTTCAACTTGTTTTTTCTAATGATACGCCAGTTTAATCCATAAAATTGTGATTACTGGTCAAATTCAGATCCCATTGTTCTCAAGTTAGAAAAAACGAATTCATAGACGTTTATTGAAATCCATTATCGGTATTTCTTTATATATATATATATATATATATATATATAATGATAAATAAAATATCAAGTAAGATGTTAATTTTTAATCATTCAAATGATAAATTACTATTAAAATTAATTTTACTCAATCTTAAATTAAAAATAAAAAGACTAACATTAAATTTTTAATAAGATAAAATGATATTTTATAATTTCAGTAATTGAATTCATCACTGTTAGTAATTTTATGATTAATTTCTTAATTGCATGTAATTTTTAATGCTATTGTAAAAAAAAGTTCATTTTTTTTTTGTTAATTGGCTGAACTTTATCTTGATTATTATAATATTTTATAGGAAAACAAAAAATTAAGTTGGGTAGGGAATTAGTTCAGATTAAAGGGTCGAGTCTTTACTACATTGTACCATAAAAAGAAAAGGGTCTCTGCTCTTTACAACAACTTGTTGGATTGTGTCTTTATTCACGTGAGGGTTAACTATAGATGATTTTTGAGTTTTAGATCAAAATGTCTTGGGAGGAGTTGTAACTTCAGAAAATGCGCAAGTAGTTTTACTGTGTTTAATTGAGGATGGGGTCTTCTAAGAAACGGTTTAGATTGCAAAATTGAAATTAAGGAGAGGGTTTGTCTTCATGTGGGGAAGGCTTTTGGGGTATTTTCTTGTAAAGGAGGGTGTGATTTGTTCGATTGTCTCGTACCAGTTTTTGGTTGGTTGTGTTTTCAAATGAATGGATCCAAAACAAAGGGTTACTTGCTGTCTGCCCTTTACATAAATGAATAATGATTCTCACATGGATTTTATGCAATAAATATTTTCTCTGGGAAATTTCCGGGGTAGATGTTACCCTCAGAACCCATATCAGAGGAAATTAAACTTGGATGTGATATCGAAGCTGAGCACATAAATGTGATACTTTTGATCCAAATGTAATAAATTGATTTATACGCGTTCATTTATTAGTTTAAATTTTAGAATATTTAATTCATTAGGTGATTAAAGTAGAGTTATTAATAATATTATTATTACTATTAGTTGTAAAAATTAAATTTTGACATATGACAAAATTAAGTCAATACATTCTCTGTATTCTTTTTATGAATGGTTGCATTCAGATGTAGATATTCGTTGTATTTGTTTCTTTTGCTTAATTTCAGCCATTCATGAACAAGGGATGTGAAAAAGGACAAAAACTTGGAAGGCTTCTGATAATGTATTACTGTATTTGTTTTCTATTGAGCGACGCCTAGAAATGCGCGATCCATACTATGAATAATGGATTACTCATAGAAAGGGTAATCAAAATTCCATCTAAAAAATTGTCCTTTTCCTTGTTCCTTAATTTCTAATAAAAAGACCGAAAATTCAGAAGTGAAATGAACCGGGCCAGCTGTGTTTCCCGGGGTAAGACGGCATATACAGCTTTGTTGCTTTATAGCTATAACTGAGATTCCAAACTATTATAATATATTGTGATTTATGATCTTTGATAAAGTTGAAACTGTATGTTGGAGTGTGCCATCGAGAAAACAAAATACAACTGTACTTTGGAGTAAATTAATTAATAACATATAAGGAACGGCCTAATCCAACATGGTTGATTATTATAATACTAGCTTCTATTTTTGGTTTCTTCCCTAACGAGGCATTTGTCTGGTTAGTCACTAACCATATGTTATTTTCTTAATTTAGCTTTTGGATTCATTGTATTTTACAGACAGTATATACAAAAAGTATCTTTTGAAATAAATTCTGTCAAATTAAAGTTTAATCATTATGATGCTACATTATACTATTCTTTTATGTCATTGTTAGCAGATTCCATCTCAATGTAATGTCCCGATCACATCGTGAGAATAAGATTCATCCTGCTTAATATCCTCTATTTAAATCTTGCTAAATACTATTTTTTATTAAAAGGACAAATTTTAATCTATTTTTGTCATTATTTGTCAAATTTTGAAATACTGATTGATTGAAATGGCAAGAACAAATCTAGGAAACTGCATCTAATTGTTGAACTGTGTAATAGGGCCAACATTGAATATTTCCTTAAACTTGAGTTCGCAGGTTGCTAGTTGGGGAGCGTATCTTCTATCCCGTGACATCTTAACAGTGTCGATTGCACCAAGAGACACACACGAAGCACAAGTTCAGTTTGCACTTGAAAGAGGAGTTCCTGCATTAATTGGAGTTCTAGCTTCAAAGAGGTTGCCTTTCCCTTCTAGAGCTTTTGACATGGCACACTGTTCTCGCTGCCTCATTCCATGGGCTGAATATGGTAATTACTATTCTCCCAATTTAAAGAAAAGTTAAATAACATAAATGAAGTTCCTTGAGTAGTGAAGCCAGAAAACATTTATTGCGGTAGCTAATTTATAATAGCAAGGAAATTATTAACTAAAGTCTTTAGGACTAAATTAAAACAACTAATAATAATAAAATTTTATTTAAAATAGAATATTTATTATTTTTTTATAATTTTAATGTAATGGTTTTTTTTTTCAATAAAAAATTATTATTTTTGGATGCTTTAACTCAACTGAAGTATCCAAAACCTATTATAGTATCAAGGAAAGTTACTAACAATACTAAAAAAAATATTAGAGGTTGTTTGATTTTAGAAAGTGTTTTTTATTTTCACTCTTAGTTACAAAACTTTTTTTTTCTTATTTTTTAAGATTTGTATAGAAAATCATGGAAACAACTTTATTTTATTTTTATTATTTTCTGTACAAATCTTTGAAAAAATAAATTAAACTGATAGTTTTGGAATTAAAGGTGAAAATGAAAACTAATTTTTGAAATCAACAGTTACTTAATTTTCCAACATTTCACATTTACCATGGTTTTGGGGTAGCCGATAAATATTTATTGAGAGTAGCCAATCATATTTATCTTAATTACTTCCAAAAGTTTGAAAAAGTTTTGGATGGTCATGAGTAGCAATAATGTAGTTCAGCTCCTGCCTATAGCTTCATGATTGAACGTGTGTTTATTATGTTTTTTTAATACTTGTTGAATTAGATGGGCTTTATCTAAATGAAATTGATCGAATTCTACGCCCTGGTGGGTATTGGATTCTATCTGGGCCTCCAATACGGTGGAAGAAATATTGGAAAGGATGGGAAAGAACAAAGGAGGATTTGAATGCAGAGCAAACTAAAATTGAGGAGGTAGCTAAAAGCCTGTGCTGGAAAAAGCTAGTGGAGAAGGGTGATATTGCTATTTGGCAGAAAGCCAAAAATCATTTGGAATGCAAAGCTAACCGTAAAGTCACTCAAAATCGCCCTTTTTGCCAGTCACAGCATAATTCTGACAAAGCTTGGTATGTGCTTCTTTTCTCATTTTCCTTGTGTTGCTTTCTTTCAAGTAATTTTTTATAATATTTAAAGTAAATGTTTTGCAATTCTCTTCAATTAATATTTAGATACTTGTAATTTCATTTATTTTTAAAATACGTTTTCATAATCTAAAAGCTTTTAGGAGAAATCTTTATAGTCTTAAAATCATTTTAATGAGGTCTGTGCTTGCAAAATATCATTAACTGTTAAATTATTAAGAATTATTTTAAAATGGAGATAAAGGGTATGTTTGGGGTAAATAACTTAATAAGCATTTGTTTAATAAGTTCTTATCACATGAGAGCTAATGATATGAATTTGATGATAAAACTTTTAATTCAAGAAGTTAATAAGATGTACTAATGCATGTTGAAATAAATTTTTAATAAAACAATCGCTTATTTTTTAAAAGCTCTCTTACTAAGGTGTAAAAAATAGGTGGTAGTTTTCATGAAATAAGGTTATCCAAACATTCACAACCTGATTAAAATAAGTTAAGAAAAGGTTATAGAAAATTATAAATTAATTTTCGTAAGTCCTCCATAATCCTTACTAAACATTCTCAAAGTATAACTAAAGATTCAATTTTTTAAAAATGCATGGACTTTTTTAAAACTATTTAAAAACCCAATGACCCGGTGTGATTTTAATGCGTAGTTTTTGGGTCATTTTTCAGGTACACAGATATGAAGACATGTTTGAATCCTCTACCTGAAGTGTCCAACAAAGAAGAAACTGCAGGTGGGGCATTGGAAAATTGGCCTGATAGACTAAAAGCCACCCCACCAAGGATTTTCAAGGGGACCATAAAGGGTGTTACTCCTGAAACTTTCTCAAAAGATAATAATCTGTGGAAGAAAAGGGTATCATATTATAAGAAGGTTAACAATCTACTAGGAAAAGCTGGGAGATACCGCAACCTTTTAGACATGAATGCTTACTTAGGTGGTTTTGCTGCTGCACTAATTAAATCTCCTGTTTGGGTCATGAATGTGGTTCCTGTTCAGGCTAAGGTTGATACACTTGGTGCAATATATGAAAGGGGTTTGATTGGAACATACCAAAATTGGTTAGCTCATTTTTCTCTCGTAGTCTTTGTTTGATGAAAGGATAAAATTTATGTGTAATAATTTTTTTGGTGTTTTTGGTGTTGGTTTTTACTCAAAATTAAAATTTCACTTTGATAAAAGATTTGAGTTTAATGTTGTTGCAGGTCATCTTGGTAAAACTTTTAATTTTATTTAGAAAACAGCACCAAAAATACTTGAAGAACTGTACTTAAAGTTTTATTTTTCATGAATTTTTCTCCGTTTGTATCCTCTAAAATGCTTGTGGTCATTAACTTTGTTGCAGGTGTGAAGCAATGTCTACTTATCCTAGAACTTATGACTTAATTCATGCTGATTCAGTGTTCAGCCTTTACAATGACAGGTATACAATTATTTTGAGGTGCATGTTTTAGTTTCCAAGATGACGTTTAACTGAAAATTTCTACCAAAACTTAAAACTTTTAGATTCCGTTTTAGACAGTAAATCAAACCCAAAAATTTCATATAGATATATATACCCAATTTAATGTTTAATCTGAATCTAAACGTATGAAGTTTTAAAATCTGAATAATTGCTTGTGTGTTGTAGATGTGAATTGGAAGACATTTTGTTAGAGATGGATAGGATTCTTAGACCAGAAGGAAGTGTGATCATAAGAGATGATGTTGATATATTGGTAAAGGTAAAGAGTATTGTGGATGGCATGGATTGGGAGAGTCAAATTGTGGACCATGAAGATGGCCCTCTTGAAAGGGGGAAGCTTTTATTTGCTGTGAAAAATTATTGGACTTCTCCCACAGCATCCGACAAGAGTAGTTAAATACACTTTCTTATAGTAAAGAGGCCCCTTTGTTTTTTAGTTTTTCTCTTTTCCTACTTTAACTTTCCTTTTTTCTTCTTTCTTTTCTGTATTTGGCAAGTTGTTAATTGTTATTCTTTGTATTTTAACTTTTCTTTCTTCTTTTGGGCCTTGTGCAAGCAAGTTTTGTTCAATGCAAATTCAGTTTAACTGTGCAGAACACCGAATTCCAGTGCTTACTCTTGTTTTGCTCTACAAATTATGGGTTAAGTAACCCAAATGCTTTTAATTGATACTTCTGTCTTTCTTTGAACATAGAGATGAAAATTGGATCATCCATATTAGCATTTAATATATTTATCTTTGTGATTGTGCAGCATGTAAGGCCATTCTTCAAATTCGTCTCATCACACATGTAATAATAGCTTTTATTTTTATAATTTCGATATGAAATATTATTTTTATCAATTAAAATGCAAGTAATTAGGTTAGGTATGAGTATTTAAGTACTTGTCAATAACGGGCGCTCTCTCTTACATTCATGCATATATATTAGTATGTTTTAAGATTTGTTGAAAAGTGCCCAATAATTCTAAAAACTAAATATGTTATTAATGGACAAAAATATAAAACATAAAAATTGTCTTCGTTAGTATAACTTATATTTTAATAAAATTAAACTATTTATATAATCATAATGAGTTTATATTAATAATATAATATAATATAATAAAAATTTATGTATTAATAGAAATATTTTTAAATCATATTGATTTACAAATAATAATTTCACCGGTGATTGAATGAACCGATAATAATAATAATAATAATAATAATAATATATAGTTAATATTATGTAGTATATTAAATAATACATACTAATTTAAGATTGTAAAAAGTTAACTTAATTATTGACCTATTTAGACCAATTTTTTGGTATATCCATCTTTTTAGTTGACTAAATTAGTTATCTAATCTGTTCAAATCGAACCAACCGATCCAATTTTAGTAATAATGACTAATAATATATGATATTTTTATACTAATAAAATTATTTGTTAATAGAGTGTATTATATTATTCGCATAAACTTATACAACCTTGATGAATATTATAGGATAAAAATTAATAAAATTTAAAATTGAATAATGATAGAATTTAGTAAAATAGATTATATTATATGATTCTCTTTAATGTTGGAGATAAACAAAAAATAACAAGATATAAATTATATTTAAATATAAAATTAACTTTTTGATTTAAAAATATTTAAAATTTGAATTAACTTTGATTTTTTATAGTCTATTAAAAATTTAAAAATATTTAAAACTACAAAATATTCTTATATACAAATAATATTAAAATTTTGATTCTCAATTATAATGATTTAGAAAATTATAATAAATTATAATTAAAATAAAAAATTACAAAAATTTGAACTTATATATATATTTTATAAGTATTTTTTTTTATAAAAAGTATATTTTTAAAATATATTTTATGAAAATATTTTTAATAAAAGTAATGTTCATATGATTTTTATTAAAAATATTAAAATTAATTTTTAAATAATTATTCTTTTTATAAAATATTATAGAGGACATGAAGTATAAGTAAAAGAGAAAAGAGAAATGTTTCCCTATCTTAATAAACTTTAACTCATTACTTCTTTCAAAATAAGAATTTAAATAATCATAATAGAATAAAAAGAATAACTTTAGGGAATAAATTGTTATATCTTATTAAATTAATAAAAACTAACCCGTTTATACTAGTAAGATATATTATATTATTAGTACAAAGACTATAATAATAAGAACTAATATAATCCTAAACCATTAATATTTGTTTTTAGTACTGTTAGTTTAAGTAAAAATTTACATCAATTAAAATTCAAACGCAGTAAATACAATTATTTCTAACTTCTATTATCCATATGTGGGGATATATGATCTCAAAAGACTTGCGTCAATAATCCCTTTCTCATATCTTATATGCAGGAACTTTTTACAAGGAATGTGATTTCAATAAAAATATATTAGATTTAACTTTATTTTATAATAAAAATATTAATGACAGTGATTTTAATTTTATAACCAATTTTAATATTATATATTGTTGCCTTCCAGTGCTGACACATGGAAGACGATCCTTTAAATTGCGTGAAATTTTATATTTATCTTTCTCTTTATTAAAATTTATAAGGCTTCAGTTATTTAATATCTATTAAAATATATATATACAAAACTTATATATGATTTTGTCAAGCAAATTTCAGCATCAGAGAATCTATTCTCAGTGGTACATACTTGAGAATTATAATAAAATAAAACCAAGTGTTCAATATGGCCCAATCTAGAATCATTGTCATTCATAGACTAGTCAAAAAGAACAGACCAAAACTAATTGCACATAAAAAATGTGAGAGGCTAAATTCAAATCTATTTAGAACGTAATACAATAAAATATTTATGTTACTTTGCCTTTTACATTTAATGATTATGTTATGTTACCTTGGAATAATATCGATCCAATTGATGAGAAATTGTTGCACAAATACTGTTTATAACTCATTGAATTTTAATGTATAAAGGCACTTTTTCCAACATTTCATATGTTTAACATTAACACTGCATATACCTAGCTATTTTTTTTAGTCCAAATTCATTATTTAAACATAAAAAATTCATATCATATAGCATTGTATACAACTCTCTTCGCTTCTATTTATTTTTTTAACTTGTGTATGTGTTAGCAACACATTCCAAAATTAAATTATATAATATTTTGTTTGCTATATATAAAATATTGTGTTTAGAACTTTTCTTTAGAAATGGAATTTTCTAAATTAAAAAAATTGGTTTTATGTATAAAAATAATAATTTTTTCGTTTAATTATAACTTCAGTTCTTTTACTATAGATTTTGCATACTTGATTTTAGTTTTTCTTAGTTAAAAGTAACTAAATATGATAGTTCTATTGATTTTCTTCTACATAGAATCCTATTTTTTTTTCACTAAAATATTTACAAGTTGAATCAATTAAATTATTTTCTGTTCAAAATTCATCCAATAAAACAACAAATGTCATCTAAAATTAAAAAAAAAAAACCTCACAATTTTCTCTATTAAAGCCCTAATCTGACTTCTTACAATATTAATTCTTCAAATTTTATCTTTCTTTTTTTTTTACTTTTAAACTTATACAAATACTTTTTATCTAAAAATGATCATAAACATCCAAATCTATAAATAGAAAATAATAATTATATTTTAAAATTTCAAGTAAAAAAATTAAACAAGACTAAATTCACTTTTAACAATAAAAAAACTGCATTAACTTAAAAACAGTTTGAGAAATTAAATTCACTCACTCCATGCACATTTTGACCATTTAATTAATGTTGAGCTGACATAATTTCATGCGTGCCTATGTTTCTATCATGCCACATAAATGATTTCATGGAAACTGTAAAAAGGTTCACATCAAGGAAGAGAGGAAACGAATATTAAACTGAACTCACCATCATGCCACAATTGCCATTCAACACCAACGTTGTGAGGTGAAAACCTTATGGTAGTTGATACTCACGAAGTTGACACACCAATTGCTTCCAAAATTCACTATAAATAGGGAAATTTCCAAACCATAGTCACAGTCATATACAGTAGTAGCAAAGAAATAGCTTTAATAAGTAGTTTCAATTGAAGTGATGGCTTTCTTCTCTCTAAGATATCAACTTGCAATGTTGCTACTATTGGTTGTGGCAATAGAGACCCAGAAAGAGATGGCTATGGCACAGATGAGTACATGCTCAAACCAGCTGAGCAACCTCAATGTTTGTGCACCCTTTGTGGTGCCTGGTCAACTCAACACAAACCCAAGTGCTAGTTGTTGTAATGCTCTTCAACGTGTGGACCGTGACTGCCTCTGCAACACCCTTAGAATCGCTTCCCAATTGCCTTCTCAGTGCCAAATACCCTCCTTTGGTTGTGGTATGCTTTTCACTTAGCTCTTTACATAGGGTGCATTAATGAATACATATATAATTTTTTTTTAACTTAGTCTAATGTGTATCAAATTTTAGTCAGAATACTTTTATACAATATTGAGGATAAGTGTTTATTTAAACTAGTTATTAAAATGCATTCATATTCTTCTTAATTAGTGTTTTCATCTTAGTTTTATTTTCTTATTAAAGATTATTAATTTACTCTTGAATCTTAATTTACAGGTAAAAATTAGTGCATTTAAGTGGATACTATGGACGAATAATGTTGAAGTCTCAGTCTTCACTCTGGTTTCTCTTTTATTTTAGATTTTTAATTTAGTGTTGTCACTTGGTTTCAGTGTCTTGTGAGAAACCAGTTATGCATGGCAAAAGGAAGTCAAAGCAATGAAATAAAGATGTTGAAAGTTCCTTAGTTTAAAAACATATATCGACTATTAATTCTCTAATTAAGTTTCACATTATATTCGTTCTTGGTGACTAATAATTAGTGCTGGAAAACTAACTTATAGATATCAAGAAAAAAAGAAAACTAACTTTTGGTAAAACATTATCCAATTCCCTTTTTCAGCTGAAAGAATTGAACTTCATCATATGTGTACTTATTATTATTATTATTTGAGTAATGCTATGAATTAATACAAAGAGAATTTAACATCGGAAATCTATTAGAAATATTTTGTAATTAAAAAAGAATTTGACAAATTTATAGTCGGCTATTTTATTTCAAAAAATAAAATGCATTTTAATTTAGCCCCTCGTTAATCACCCATGAATATATTCATTATTATTTTTTTCTTACAAAGTATAAATGGATTGAATTTTCTAAGAGCTGATTAGGACTAAAACATCAAGGTTAGAGATCGCCCACCAACAAAGTTTTGTATTTGTATTGAGATTTAGATAACGTTCATATTAGTCCCTATGTACTAAACTAATCTTTGTTAGCATTTTTCGTCACTTTTGGGTCGTCTTGCATCGATTTTTTTATTTTTTTTCTGGATGGATGTATTTTAATTTTTTTTGTCATCGTTAATTGGGTTATGTTATGTCTGGCTACAATAAGAACTGCAAGGAGTATTGGGCCCAAAATGGAGAATAATTTGGGACTTTTTATTTTGTTTTTTATCTTACAAAATTACCTTTTATGATAATAATATTTTTTAGATTTAATCCAATGATATTTTTTTCATGCACTATTCAACACAATTTCATTGCCTGGAAAATGTTTTAATCTATTGAATTACCTCTTAAAGTTATAGTGATTGTAGTTGACTGTCAATCATTCATCTATTTTTTCTATTAATCTTTTTTTTGTCTTTATAAGTGTGTATTTAGTTATGTTTTTTTTATTATTTTAAAAGTTAAGTTTTAGACTTGAAAATATTTTTCTGACAAAAGTAAAATTTTCAAAAAAATTATTTCGAATTAAAATTTACAAGCTAAGTTTCAAAAAACCACTAGAATTAATGTTTCAAATATTAATTTTTACACTTCTAAAATTTAATTTCTAGATGTTATATATTTCCAAAAATATAAGTTTAATATTATAACTTACAAGCTTTCAAAATGTATTTCTTACGCTTTTGAATTTTTTTGGAAGTAAACTAAACTTCCTGAAACATGATTTCAAAATTATAATTTATAAACCTTTGAAATTAAATTTTTAGAAACTGACTTTTATACTTCTGAAATTTAGTTTGTTGAAACATAATTAAGGATATTTACAAAAAATGAAGAAAATTTTGAAAAGTAACAAAGGAATGCAGAAAGAAAGTAATGTAGAAATATCGATGGATATCAAAACTTTATCTTTTTGGTGAGATAGAGTTGTCTTTGAACAAATCTTGAAGATTTGTCATATTGAAACAAGCTTTGGATTTAAAGATTAGAATTAAGGATACAATTAGACGAAAGATTTAGAATTGTGGTTTAAAACTTTAATTTTAATTTCAATTTTGTCGAAATTAGAATTTGGTTTAATATTATAATTTTGTATTGGGTGGTGTAAATAATTGGAACGTAAAATTAGAATTTTACTTTTTAAATAATTTATTATTTATACATATGATCTAAAATTTGAAAAAAAAATTCATTAAAATATTATTTATTATAATGATAATTAAATATTTTCAATATAATAATGCAATTATTTATTGTTAAATAATAATTAAGAACACAAAAAAATTGTATAACTTGAGTATTATGTTTCGAAATAGTATAAATAATTCCTTGTGATAGATCACCATTCTATTTAGCGAACTTGCTTTTTGCCATGCCACTTTATCTGGTCATCAATGATGCTTATGAATTATGATGTATCCATCAAACTTTTGTCTCTTTGAATACCATCACAAATGCATGAGGGACCAATTCATGTTTAGCCCATTTTTTAAATTTTTAGTTATCAGTTGCAGAGTTGACAAGTTTTTGGAGTGTTACTTAAGAATCAAAGATTAAAACTAGTTATTTTATAACTACACAAAATTATTATATGAAATATATTTATAATTTCAAAAAATCATAAAAATTACAATAAGTAAGACTCATTTAATTTAGCTCACTGATTTGAGTGATTACTTTAAGACATTAAATAAGCATTTGTATATTTTAGATGGAGTTGTCAAATGATACTAAAGATTTTAATAATTATAGATGCAAAAAGTAACGTATGAACTTAATAAATTTTAATAAATGTTTGTAAATTTAAAATTTAAAGTAAAATAATTTAAGTTGGTGAAATTTTTTATTTTTAAAAATATACTTTTTATATTTAAAATATAAATTTAATTAATTTTAAATTAAATAATTCAATAAAAAATTATAAACAAATACATGTGTCTTTTATTTTTAAAAAAATAACATAATAGTTATTAATTTATCAAAATAAAAAGTAAATTAACTCATCTTTAACCTTGATCTTAGCTCACCTTTTTTAACACGTTAAAGCAGAAAATAAATTCATTACATATAAAGCTTTTAAAAAAAAAAAGAATGTTTAATGGTTACATGTAGTAGGTTGTGAGTTATAGCCAATATTGATAACTCTAATTTTAGAGTTTTAGATTAGTTTATGATTTGATTTGTCCAATGTCATATTTTTTTAAATTAATAAGAAAACATTTTTTAAAGTTTAAATTACTGTTTTTAAGAATATTATAATATATCTATACTAATGCATCTTATTTTGAGACATATGTTGCAAAATATTTCTTAATTTTATATCATTGGTATAAATACTAAAAAGTTTGATTTTGGTAAAATAAGATTTTAAGTTCAAATTTTTAGAAAGATGTATTAGAAAATTTGTTTCTTAAAGTGAGATTAAACATGATTATCAAATATTTAAAATAAAAAAACCTTAATTTTAATGTTCTACTTTCAAAATCTAATGATGTAATTATACAAAATAATTAAATTTATATTTTTTTAATCTAAATGCTGAATGTATATCTTATTTAAATTATCATTAATTAGATCACAAGAAGATAATGTTTGATTCCAAAAAAACATGAGTGTCCTTCATTTTTGTAATGTGGTAGATATTATAAGTTATGGTTTAATTAAATGTTATAATTATTTCAAAAGTTGCACAATTTGTATTTTATTTTAATAAAGTTTATTATAATATAATTTTATCTTGTTCACAAATTATTATTTTTAGTTTCTTTGTCTGATGTGATTGATTAAGATATTATAAGTCTCATCTTTTACTAGAAAGACTATAATTAATAATTTATAAAAAATAATATGAATTATATTTTAACAAAATACTTTATTTAAACTAAATTTAAATTGTGTAATTTTTTTAAAAATTAAATATTTAATTAAGCCTATAGTTTATTTATACATTGCATGGGGAAGATAAAAAGAAAAAAAGGACAGAGCGTTTCAAAATTAACAATATCATATCTAATCAATAAAATGGGTTGAAACAACATTTTTTTTTTTTAAATTGATACATGTCATTGTGATCATAGTTCTTAAAGTTAAATCAAACCGGTCGATTACCCAGTTAAATTAAGAATTAATTAAGCTATTGGTTTAAACAATTCAAAGACTTAGTGGAACCAAAAAGAAATTAAATAATTGATTCAACATTAGTAAAAAATATTTATTTGAACAAGTTTATTGAAGTTGATTTTTGTAGTCTTTTATTTCAAAATATTTTATAAAATAAATAAAGGTTTATGTATAAAATTGTTTTTTAATCAACTTTGTTAATATTAACCTTTAAAGCTGAATTTAATATTAAAATAGTAGTTTTTATTAAAATAATAAGCTAATTTTGTTAATAGTAATCCTTGAAATAATATTTATTACACTCTTATAATTTCAAACGAGTAATATTCTTTTATTTTTATCATTGTTTATTTAAAACTTGTAAATAAAAGTTAAAATGAAAAAAAATGATATTTAAGTTAAACATATTTTTAACTTTTACAAGTTGTGATGTTTTATTTTTTATTTATTTAAAAATATATTTTATAGTTTTGGACTTTAATATTTTTTTAAAACTTAATTCTTTTAATTTCTCACGCTAACATGATGCAACAAAAAACATGTAAAACAAAAATTATATACATAATAAATTTATTAATCACATTATTATTAACGATCAAAAGTGTTAAATTTAAAAAGATTGGAGATTAAAATAAAAAAAAAAAAGATAAATCATGATATTTTTATTACTATTTATGAAAATAGTAAATGAAACAAGGAGTAATTTTTGAAACCAAACAGGTTTGCACATATTTATGCTATTGCAGTGGTGATGATTTGAACATTTGGGGAGGGGGCCGCTGCATATTTGATGAATGGCTGTACATAATTAAAGGACCCACTTTTGTGATTTCTTTGTTGTTTTCGTTACAAATAATGTTATTAACAATTTTTTATTATTGATTAAAATTTATTAAAATTTTTAAAAAATATTAATTTAAAAATAAAAAAGAGTGAAACTTATATAATTTTTATAAATTTTAGTTAATAATAAAAAATGTGTCAAAAGCTTAATGTCATTGAAATGAACCAGTTAATTATAATAATTAATGTCATTGATTTCCTTCGTGAAAATCATGCCTAACTCTAGTCTATATTTCAAAGGTTAAAATATTCAACATAGGGCTCATTATGCTTCAAATTTAAAATGTGAATGTTCGAAAATTAAATTAGGCAGAGAATATAATCTTCAGGTAGACGAAAATTAATTATAGCAGAGAGTGAGGTGAGACATAATATTGTACTTTGTCCAAAATTAAAAAAAATACCCAACATATTAATTAAGATCTCATTCCTTTTGGCAGGTGTAATAAATTTTTAGATGTGTTTAAATATGTAATTTAATTAACTAATTGTTTAATAAATTATTTTCATATGAAATTTATATTATAAATTTTATTAAAATTAATAAAAATATTTAAATAAAAAAATGAAAATGAAAATGAAAATCTAAGTTATCTCAATAAACTATTTGTAAACTTTTATTTAATTTGAATCGTGTTCTTTTTTCTTTTTCTGTTTTTTCTATAATTTTACTTTTCGTAGTTAGTTGAATTACAATTGTGACTTGTTCCAGTTCGAGTACACATTTCCGGTGATACTTACCTAAAATATCTACCTGTTCATTAAAAGAGAAAGCACTTGGTTTTTTATAATTATAGATCCAAAACAAGAGTTGGTATAAAAAGTAAATACCCAATTCTTATTTTCACACTTATCTGACAAATAAAATAAATTTTAAAAAAAGAAATCAAATTATATGATGCAAGTTATATTTAAATTTTTTTAATTTTTATTAAATAATTTAATTCTAAAATGAAAGGTTCGATTTAAAGTTTTAATAATATGAATTATATTTACAAAATTTTAAATTAATTTAAATATATTTATATTTCATTTTTATGTACCAAAATTAACAATTAATATGCATTTAAAATAATAAAAATAAAAGTATTTTAATTACATTCTTATAGTTATTTAAAATTAAAAAAATATATTATATATAAAATCATTAAAAATGTAAGAGTAATTATAATATATATATATATATATATATATATATATATATATATATGTGTGTGTGTGTGTGTGTGTGTGTAGAGAGAGAGAGGGAGAGGAAGAGGATCAAAATAATCACATTTTATATTAAATTTTTTATTTTTATAAATTTTAAAAATATAATTTTTATAATTAAATTTTTTAATTTAACAGTTAATTTTATGATTAAATTATTTAATAAAAATTTATTAAACAATATAAAGTGAATCTAACCGGTATATTTGATCTGTTCATATATATATATATATATAATATTTAAAAATATATTAATATACTTTAATTGTATTTTTTTTTTTACTTTCAGTTCTTTAGTTAGTATTCTTAAGAAATTAATTTTAATAAAAAATTTCATCGACCCAAAAAATTAAACTGTTTTAAACGATTTTTTTTTCTATAAACAAATTTTTCTAAAACTATTGAAAATGTTTTTTATATTTAAAGTGAGACAATTTTAATGTTTCATATAATTTTGAATGATTTTAAATATATAATAATAATAATAATAATAATAATAATAATAAAAATGATTATATTAAATACTAATTTTTATACATGAAAATAATAAAACTGAAAATATATTATTGACAATTTTCAATTTAGTAGTAGTTTGCAAAGCAAATTGCAAACGAAAGAGAGCGTGGGCAGGAGAGTCTGGAACAGCGCGTGGCAAAGAAGTAATAAACAACAAACATATTCCAAATCTGCAACCCTCAAAACTGGTCCATTTAAGTGTTCCATGCTGCTTCTTTTTCTTATCTCATTCTCTCCAATTCCCACCAATGACTTAAGAAAATTCACATCATGGGCTTTCTCCGGCGACTCTTCGGCGGCAAAAAGCACCACAACCCGGTAACCACAAACGGGTCGGATCCCAAACCGGGCAAAGATAAGAGAACATGGAGCTTCGTGAAACACACCACACGAGACAAGTCTCACGCATTACCCTCTGCTAACACCAACTTTGACCCCTCCACTTCTTCTGTTCCTTTCACCGACTCCTTGGACGCCAATAAGCATGCCATCGCCGTCGCCGCTGCCACCGCCGCCGTCGCCGAGGCTGCTCTCGCCGCCGCTCACGCCGCAGCCGAGGTCGTCAGGCTAACCAGCAGCACCGGTAGTGCCACCGCCAGGCCCCACACGGCGGCGCAACCCCGGCGATTGGCGGAGGAAACCGCCGCCGCCGTGAAGATTCAGTCGGCGTTCCGAGGTTACTTGGTACGTGAAAATGTTCGGTTTTGATTTTTCGAGTTTCTTATGATTATGTTCCTGTAAGTACAAGGTGAAAACATAATGTTTGAGTAAATACGTAATATAAATATACTTTAATTGTTAAAAGATATGTATTAAATATTTATTTAATTTTGTTAATCCGTACGCTTAGGGTGTTAATAAAAAAGTTTTTTTATTAAAAATAAATCATAATACATTAAAAATTAAAGATATGTATTAAAAAATATTTATATTTTTTTAATATTTTAAATTAATATCCTGAGGACATTATATCACAATTTTTTCGTTATTTTGATATTTTAGTATATTAATTAAAAAATAAAATAATGAAGTTGTATGCTTTGATTGGGAGTAGTATTTGATGGTAGATCTTGTGAGTGATTGCTTGGTTTTGAGGATTCAGATTTTTACTTTTTAAAATTGTCTCCCATCCCACGTTCTTACATCTTAGCGCGTCAGCTAATTTCAAATTTGTTGACTCTCTCAGTCTCCTTTTCACCTTCAAATGCAATTTTTCTCGGAAAACAAACCTAAGTCAATTTTTCCTCCATTTTCAACGCTCTTTCTTTTATTTTTTTCTCGCTGTCACAACAACCATGCCTTCCTTACTTCTTTAAATAAATATTAAATTCAAATTTTTTAAATTAATTTTTATATGTAAATTATGACTATTAATTTTTAAATGATAATCTTTTTAGAAAATTTAATAGAAATATCTTTAAGAGTATTATCGAATGAGAATATTTTTGAAAAAAATATTATTACTGCAGAAGATACAGATTCAATTATTTTTAGAATTTAGTTCTTTGTTTATTATATTAAGTAACTTTTTTCTACATTATGGATTTATATTTAATTTTTTAATATAATAAAATTATTATCATTTAAAATTATAATATTTTTTTGCTAAAGACATAAAATCAAATTTTTATTAAAAAATATGTTTAAATATATTAAAACTTATAAAAAATATGATAGTGATTAATATTTATTTTAAACGAATTTTAATATCAAATTCTTTTTAGCTTACGAAAAGACTTCGGTAAATGTTATGCGTGTGGACTTGGGGGGTGGGTTCCGGCAACACATTTCTATAGAACCATTAATATATATTTATATTTATGAAAACGGTTAGCAAGCTTTAAAAATTGAGTTTAAGTAACATACGATAGTAATATTTTATTAAACTATTTTTGTAATTTTAATATAATAGATATATTTTTCTAAAAAACTTACTTTTTTTAAACGTTTAAATTCATTTCTAAGACTTAAAATGAATAAAATCCGATATTTATGCATAGGTCACTAACTGTCATTAAAAAATTATTAAATGTTTTGATATATGAAAAATTATTGGATAAGTGTTTTGTTTTGTTTTGTTTTTCAATAAGTTTTTAACTACTTTACCAATATCTTATACTGAAAAAGAAAAATACTAATTAGATCATAAATTTGTATAACTTTTTTATGAATTAAAGAGATAAAAAGAAAAGAAAGTCTCAAGACGAGGGATATAATAAAAAGATATAAAAGAAAGTTTATCCAAGTAAAAACTTATTCTAAAAATTTATTGTGATAATATTATAACGCATACAAAAAGGTCATTTGCATCATTAAAAGGAGAAATTTAATTTTGCCCCTTTTATATTTATAATTATTTGAAATATGTTCATAAAAAATAAAAAATGAATATATTATTATTATTATCTCTATTGCAGCTGCAATGTATTCCTATCACGTGGTGGCTGCAATTTTGGTATGTCGAGTCACTTTTATGCTTCGGAGTGTGTTCTGTTCTGCTTATGTCGAATCCTTCGGTCCTGTCGTATTGTATATATGTGATTTTGATCCTTAAGAAAATGGAATTTGAGTGTGTGACAATACAAGGGTCAAGGGCAAACCAAGAAAGTTAAGAAGTAGAAAATGAGTATTTTGTGTGTAAATTGTACTTTCCTATAAAATGAGCCCACCTATTTGGTAAGTTATTATACTTTCCTTTCTAGTGACCAAAGTAGATTGTTCCCTTGCACCCAAGAATAACATCAAAGATGTTGTCACAACCCATAACCCACCATCAACTATGTTTTATAGGTCATGGGCCTAAGTGCTGGTTGTTAGGCTTCCAATTAGTGAATGTAATAGGAGTTGGAATGGGGTGTGTTGATTTGTGTTAAATTCCTGTTTTCTTGGCCTTGACAAGTGAAAAGCCGAAAGCAATGCTTTTGAAGGGTTAAAAAAAAGAAGAGATTTTTCACCTTACTTTTAGTTGATCTTTTAACCTTCACGTGAGAGGAAGCAACTTTGGTTAAGGTATTCTTTCAAACATTATGGCTACAATGTTCAATGAACATAAATTTTCACCTTTTGCCGTCCTACCATGGTGGGGCATGCGACATAGGAAGCTTCAATGGACCAAAAGGAGAATCAATAATGGCTGGCTTTCCACTGTATTTATGTTTACTAATGATTACGCCCATCAACCTCCACCCCCTCCCCTCTCTCTCATGTCTTTTTTCCTTTTAATATTCTATCCCTTTCTCACATTCCATGCTTATCTATTTCTCATCTTTTTCAACCCGTTTGAAGTCTTTTATCCTATTTTATTTATCTACTTTTTTCACATTATATTGTATATTATATCTATTACTTTTGTCTCCTCTATTCCTATCTTTCTCAAGGTGTAGACACCTCTATCAAAAATTTTCTTGTCTTTTTTGTTTAATAAAAAAAATATGTTTAAGGAGTATTGAAATTAGTAATTACAATGAGAGTATACGAATAATATTTTTTAATATTTTCTTGTCTCTTATTTTTAATATTTTTGTGATGGAATTTGTAAGGCAAGGAGGGCATTGAGAGCACTAAAAGCATTGGTGAAGTTGCAAGCATTGGTGAGGGGTCACATTGTAAGAAAGCAAACTGCGGATATGCTGAGGCGCATGCAAACATTGGTGCGACTGCAGTCGAGGGCACGTGCAAGTCGTGTGATCCTGTCAGATAATAATATGCATTCTTTCAAGTCTTCACTTTCTCATTACCCTGTAAGCAAAGCAAACATTTTTATTTTTTTATTTTTTAACTTTGTCCTATTAATTCTTGTGATGATCCTTGGCTTATGAAGCTGATGCTAACTTGTTAGAAAGGCTATGCTATGGCATCTCACTTTCTTCAAACGTGTTATCTCTGATTTTTATTTATTTATTTATCGTAGGTCCCTGAAGATTATGAGCACCCCTTTCGTGCCTATAGTACCAAATTTGATGGATCTTCTATACTCAAGGTACATTTGATTCTTTCCCACAAACAATCATAGGATCTATAGTTGATTTAACTATAAATAGTTTACATATGCTTTTAAACATTTACACATTGACTGGGATTTAACTTAAAAGTAAACATGTATAGTAGATGGTGAACCCATTAATTTAGTTTCCCCTTTAATTGCATTCTCCATTTTGCACTTGCAGAGATGTAGTTCCAATGCAAATTTTAGGGACATTGACTTGGAGAGAACCAGGTTTGGTTCCAATTGGTTTGAAGGTTGGATGGAAGAAAGTGCATGGAGCCAAACTAGAGAAGCTTCATTGAGAAATGGACAAACTGATGATGATAAGAGTGACAAGATTCTTGAAGTAGATACTTGGAAGCCACACTTGAACACACACCATAGTAGTAGCTCACATCATTATTTGTCTTGTGATTACAACAATGAGAGTTTTGTGGCGTATGAGTCTCCATCAAAACGTTCTTCAAGAGCTCTAAATCCAAGTCTCTCTTCAAGGGAGGTTTTACCGTTAGGTTCTCTCAAGTTCCACAAAGGAAAAGAAGCAGCAGCTTCAAGAACATCTGAGAATAGTCCTCAACCATTTTCTGCTTCTTCTAGGCTTGGAAGTGGTACAAGGAGAGGTCCGTTTACACCCACTAAGAGTGAGTGTTCATGGGGTTTCTTCAGTGGCTACACGGGTCATCCCAATTACATGGCAAATACTGAATCTTCCAGAGCTAAGGTTAGGTCACATAGTGCTCCAAGGCAAAGGGTGGAGTATGAGAGATATGGTGCCACTAGAAGGTCTCTTCAGGGTTTTTGGGATGCAGGGCCTAGTGCAGATAGGGATGCTGATTTTAGGAACAAGGCCTATTCAAGCACATGCAGCTTGGACAGAATTGAAAGTGCAAATTTAAGGTGACATCACAAGTTTTGTGAATGAAGACGATTCCTCCCCAAAAAAAAAAAGAAAACGAAAAATAGAAGCGACATTAGTTTGTTTTGCTTGGGTTTTGTGTATGAAAGCAGTTTTAGGATGTAAGTATTTGACCTGTACTCTTATAGTCTTTATGTCCACACGATCATAGGCCACCTTGTTGACTCATGATTCAGTTTTACTGAATTTTGTTATGTTGAAATATTACAACAATATGTTTTGAATGTTTTCATCAATTCAACGCTGATTTTGATTGTGTGATTCATCAGAAGTTACATTGAATTAGTTCCTTCCTACTAAAATACTAATGATTATGAAATAAGGATAATGTTATATGAACAATGATGCATAGTTATGAGTTTTTATGCATGTAAGTGATGTTTTTATTACAAAACTATTTTTTTAATAACCAAAATAGAAACTGTGGTGTAGGTTTCTTCTACATCAGAACTTTAAACAACTATGCACTTTTCCAGCAATGTTTTTATCATTTAGTAAGCATTAATCCAATGTAGTGAAGAACTTTGAGTTTTAGCAAAACGGTCTATTCAACTCCATTTCAAAATTCACTCTTACTTAACATGCGTGTTAATAAACACCTTCCAGTTTTGCCTGTAGTTTTTTTGCAGATCTCCACAATATTTTTAGTCTTTTAATCTACTATTAGTTATTGCTTGTCATGCCAAATGACAAAGTCTGTGCTGGAATGATCTGCATTAGGAACTTGTCATATTCATGATATAACGATGCTTAAACAGCCTTTGGGATTAATATGAACTACCAAATCCTAAATTTTATATCTTATCCTCATTTCCTGTTTTATTTTTGTTGTAAGAACAGTCTTACTGAATAATGAAAGAGACAAAACCTTATTAATAAAACTTTCATCTTCAACACGACTAGCCTTGTACAGTTGTACATTAGAGGACTCAAATATAGTAAAATATTAATCTCTCTTTCTAATTAATCACACAAACGAGTTCAGAGAATTTTCTTGAAATAGCTGCACCCCATTTCTCCAATTTGATTTCCCACTTCCATTGAGTGTACATTTTTCAACTTTGATGCATAGGAATATATTTTGGTTGAACAGAAAACCATGTGTGGAGATACTGTTAGTGTAACTAATAGTATTTAGAGATATTTTTGCTTTGTGATTCTATTTTTATTTCCTATTTTGGTAGTGTTTTCCTGTTTTTAATTTTTCTCATGTGAATTCAAGGAAACTGTATACTAACTTTCTTTCTAGATTCTCCTTTCGGTGGTCCATTTTTTAGAAATGGACACCAAACAAAAGGACAAAAAAGATTGCACCTATGAAGTGACAATTTGACATGTGAGACAACATGAGTCCCCTCCTTCCTTTGTTTTGTTCTGTTCCATTTTATTTTGTTCTTTTTTTATTTTTCTTGTGACTATGAGAGGGAACTGTGGCCTTGGATGCTCATCCTAGGCCATACAGTTGAAGACAATTGATTATGAGTCTGACTGTGATGTAGAAGTTGTAGTTGCTCTCATTGGATCTGCTTCTCTCTGATGTAGTTTTGGACCACTTCAATCCAACCGAGACACACTTCTCTCTTTTTGATATCACCTTTGAATCATATTAACTTCAAAATGCACTTTTCCATTAATATGTGGTGGCTTTCATTATGCCAAAATCATTTGCTTTTATCAATCATATCAAAGTTCAAAAACTGCTTATTTGAATCATTTTGAGATCAACTGTTAAACTAATACTCCAACAACCAAAAAGTGTCACAAAGTGGATTTTCCCTAAGCATAGTAATTCTCTTGAATTAAAAAATAAAAAAGAAAGACAAATACTAATCAGTAGTTTAACAGCAGTGGTTATGGGATCAACAGAGTAAATTTTTTTATTAAAAATTCTATTAATGTACAGTTACCATAAGTTCAAATGTGTTTCTAAGATTTTTTTTTATATTTTTTATTCATTAATTAATGATCTTCAAGTATTGGTTATCAAGACCTAAAAAGAAATATAGATCAACAAACAATAATAATAATTTTATTATTTAAATTACTAAAAAAATGATACCATGCATTATTGTTTCTATTTTTCACTTATATTTTTATCTATCTTATTATATACATGCATCTTAAAATATATATTACAAACATGAAAGAGACATCTACATGTGTCTCCTTACAGTGGTATAACAAATATTTTTCCAAAAATAACAGTAAAAAGTAGAACAACAGTTTATGTTGGGGGTCATATAATGATGAATTAGTTAATTTGTTTCACATGCTCTGAACATACAGCACAATAAGAAAGAGCAGTGTAAACAAAGAAGACTGGTAAAGCATGTAATAATATTTTTAATGCTTGTACCTAAAAAATAAGATAGGTATGACATATACATAACAGAAGGTACAAACATTTGAATGCTCAATAATTCTAGATTCTCTTAATTTTATTGAGCCTTCCCATCCCCTGTACAATCTTCTTCATAGTGAAAACTAAGAAAAAGCAAAAAGCATGGTAGACTTGTTGATCATCACAAGAAAGTGCAGATTTGCATCAGAAAAGATATTGTTGTTCTGGATGGGACCCAACGTAATCTACACAAGGAAAAAGATTTTGATTATAAAATCAAAATTAAAAGATGTGCACTTTGATGCGAAGTGAAATGTGGGTGAATATGGTCGTTAAAATGAGCGAACCTTAATTTGTGAGTTGTATACTTTTTAACTATGAGTTAAAATTATATAAATTTTATTTTTCATTTTTAATTTAATGTTTTTTCTTATATTTTTATAAATTTTAATTAAAAACTAAAAATATAATAAAAAATGTTAAATAATATATTTCTAATCCTACTCATGAGCAAATATGAAAATTTAAGTTAAGGTGTTATTGGTGATCATAGTTATAAGATTTGGAAAGTTATGTAATCACTTAAAAATATTATGTGATTTTTTAAAAGATTTATATAATTTAAATATTATAATACTGACTATTCATTATTTATTATGAAATTTAATTATCAAAATTTGTTTTTTTCCCTTTCAAATAAAAGAAAAAATATTTTTCAATTAGTGTGTGTGTATGTATATATTGGCAGAAGTATCATATGAACTATCAATAACGCCAAATGTTGACAGCGAATCCGAAGAGAAAATTTGTGAGACTTTTACCTTATAACTATTCTTTCTCTTTGCTAGATCATATGATATATAAATCATTTAAATGAAAAACCTTATAAAATAATAAAACATGAACAGAAAGAACATCATCCATTGTTGATCAACAAATTTTCTGATTAGAATTCTTCTATAGCTATTCCTTCTTTTCTTTTTTTTTCTATTTGTCTTCTTCGTTGCTCTTATGCAGAACTTGGACCCCACATGCAATCAAATGGGCCAGTGAGAAAAGGATCATCAAATGCATCCATCACGTCCATAAAGAGCAACATATTCATATGGAGTTCAAAGGCATCAAAATCTCCAAAGTGTTTAGCATATTTTTCATACTTTGAGCTTGATTTCACGCTCAGATATCATGCTTTCTAATTAAAATTTTGAGCATTTTATTTTCTATTTCTTCCTTAAATCTCTATCTAGCTTTTATAAATATGAAATTTTACTAATACGTTCATGAACCGTAATCATAAAAAGAAATCCTTAGTCATTAGGTATACTTGTAGAAAGCAGTATAGGTGGATATTTTATTCAATAACCAAGGCAAATTATATTGCCCAGTTCTTGCTTAAAATTACGTGGAACTAGGATGTCTTCAAAATTTAAACAAGCCCCACATATATATATATATATATATATATATATATATATATATAGAGAGAGAGAGAGAGAGAGAGAGAGAGAGAGAGAGAAAGAATAACCTAAAGAAAATTTAAGATATATAATCATCTAATAGAAAAGTTTCAGCACCTGAAGAATTTGTTATACTGCGGATATTTCATATTACTTTTTCCTCGATAATCTTTCATGACTCCTAAAGGATCACCAAAATGCAAGTAATTTAACAACTTCTAGGAGATATATGTGAAGGACATGATGTCATAAGGTTTGAATGTTCAAGGGAAATAGTATATAGTTGCCACTCAAATATGTCAAGAAACTACGAAACATAACCACTCTAACTATCTGCTCTCTGCTCCTATTAAAAACATAACACGTGGTTTTGATTTTAGCATTTGCATGATTTTGTTTTGTTTTTAATATAAATTTTTGCATGAGTTTTGCAGGAGCATGCAATCTTGAGCTTCTCACGCTTTGAAAGGAAGGAAATGGTAACAAAATGAATTGAAATTCAAAAGAACAAGAAAGAGCAGATTGAGCGGAACCAAAAAGCTTTTGCAACACAAAGCAGAAAAAAATAAAAATTAAACACACTAATAATGTAACATCTAATCTTATTTTAACCAAATTATTGATTTTTGTAATAATTCAGATAAAAATATTATTTATAATGTATGTGTAATTTTTTTACACGGACAGTGTATCAAATTAAACTGAAAAAATAACTTTATCTTTCTATTGTCAGCAATAAATATACTATTTCTTTTAAATTATCATTACTTTTATTTTTATACTACTATAGTTTATCTAATTATTTATTTTTAAATTATTGTTTGTGTTTTCTAACCATGATAATGTTATTTTAATACTAATTATTTTTTTTTTTACTGTCATAATAATTGTTTATTATTCATTAGTTGTGTATTTTCCGTACTTGTTTCCCTTCCTTATAATAATATTTTTTTATTCTTTATATTCTTACCTATTACACTATTTTTGTAGAATTATTTTTAGAATTTTTATTGTTTTTATTTTTCATTACACTCTGAATCTTGTGAAAAAATAAAACAAGGAAGAAATCATAAAAGTTGTAAATTTAAGATTATTTTAAAATATTAAGAAGTAACAAAAATGTCAAAGATACTTTTAAAATATCATCGATTGACGAAAGAGTATGTCACTGTCTAACTTTCAGAATTTTTATTCATATTTTCATAATACTTTAAAACTAATGAAAAATTAGCACAAGGAGGAAAGGATAATATTAAATAACTGATTCGAAATAAACATAATTAGTCATTTGAAACTATAAAGGATAATGAAATATAAAATAAATAAAAACATGTTGTGAAAAAATGATATCA